ATTGCAGGACAATGTTTTTGAAAAACGTTATGATAACGTTTAAAAAACCATACAAAATAACGTTGTAATAACGTTTTAGAAAATGTTTTTATAACATTTTGAAAACGTTTTGATAACGTTTTAATAACGTTGTTGTGCTACCTGGGTAGGAATATTTCATGAAGCGCACTAGCGCTTCATGAAAAATATGCCTATGTGCAAGTTTGTGTGATTCACACACCAATAATTCACACAAAACTGAAAAACATTCCTTATATTTACATTTTACATGTTTGGAAGCAACTAAAATATGCTAAATATTTGCATTTGTCGCTGCCCTATATCCTAGCATGTTTACTAACGTCGCTGCAGACTCATTGTGGCGTCACGTTAACGCACGTTTCTCTGTGTATATTTTTACGCGTGAGTATACACGAAAATGGTTTTCAAATCAATTTCACATTAAGCTTACTAGAAAAACACAGCGAATGTAAATCTTTTGTTTTGAAACAAAAGCAATGCTTTAATTGTTTTATAGATTTTAAGCTTGACAAGAAATGGTACATAGATGCTGAGTAGATAAGGTAGCTCAAACTTCACAGGATCGAACTCTTTGGAAAATGTTTAGAATGTTTATAATGCCAGCGACGTCAAAAGTTTTGTTGCCCCGTGACATAATGATTTACAATTCACAATATTTTGAAATAAAAATTTTAAGTCCAAATTAGCAAAGATTCTTTTATATAATGTGTGACATTTTTCCCGGTGTCGTCAAATATTTTTTTATGTGCAAGAAGTCCGCGTAATGTTTGAACGACCCTCATACATGTAACCTGTTTTTTGACAATAACATTAAATAGCAGAAAGAATCGTTTTACTGAATCAAACTATTGATGTGTTATCTTCCTTCAGTTTCTTTTTTGTTGCATTCACCTGCTTCTTGATTCCCTTTTCGGACAGTTTCGGTTGGTATAGCCTTTGGATAAGTCTATTTCATTCACAAATGTATAGAAACATTTATTTCGTTTCATGCTTATATGATCTCTAGATATACATTAATTACTAAGACATTAGCAAGCTTTTTAAAAAGCTATTACTTGTACTCAACTCACAAAATAAATCACATCAAATTAAATTAAATCAAAATGAAATTAAGGGTTAATGTGTGAAATGTCAATAGAAATAAAATTGATTTAAATGTCTTGAAGTTCAAACTCCTTCTACTTCAGATTATAAACAGATAAGAAAATAACTTCACACCCATTTACATCCTCTTCAGATTATTGAAAGCTGGGAAGAACTATATGTCTTATTTTTGTTTACCATTTGTTGCTACTCTTCCTGAAACAGTAATTGTTAGAGTTAGTCTCTGATTCAGGAAAAGAAGGGAAAAGTTCCACAAGGTGTGTGTATATTTTTTTTTTTACTTTTTCGCCATGGATATAAAACGATTGTAATATTTGTCAGCAAATAGTTGGTTACATTTAGAGAAAATATAGTTAAATATAGATTAATTTAGTGTCTACTACGCATTTATATAAAATAACTATCTTTTTACTTTGTTTTTCCCTAATCTTGCCATAATTCGTACATCTTGAGATAAATGTGAATCCCACTACCTTTGGGCTTTTATTTTTCAAACGATAAGGACTTTACAGTACAGGTACTCGTATCGAAATCTGTTTGAACTCTGTACAAACGGTTATATATTAGGTGTGATATCTGTTTCAGTTGAGACGGATCAAGCAGGTTATGTCACAGACAAATAATGTTTATTTCGCCATAAAAAACATTTACCCCCAATGAAAACTTACACCCCTTTCCAAAACATTAATCAACTCCCGTCAATGCATATGGCGACTATCAGTTACATGTATTTATTTTAAAAGAGAGCTTTGCATGCAGCATTATTTTTTTAATCAACACTAACTTTAATATACCTGCACTGTAAATGCAACACATAAAAAGAACTTTACATATCAAGTTAAACTGTTTTGAAATTAATATTTTGCTCAATTAAACTGTAAACAAAAATTGTTTAAATTATAATAAAATCATTTTTTTTAAAGATATACCTTATATAAACAAATTCTTAAGGACAGATGATACAAACAAACAGCGGTCATGCATAAGAATTGAATATAACAACCTGAGTCATGTATTCATGAATATAAAGATGTACAAGTTTCACAACAAAGTTTTTGATATTTCATTCAAAGCTTAACAATAATTGGATTTGAAGAGAACAATGTTTGTATAGATTAAAAAAGGATGGCTGCAGAAAGTAGAATTTTGAACATCATGAAAGATTAACAATTTTTAAATATTTACGAAATTTATGATTTGCATCATTTGCAACAAAACTGGGCCCAGAAATATATACCAACCCAGGCATCTATTTTTTTATTTGTATCATCTGGTCTTAACTACATATAAATAGATGGTTTTTAAACAAACAATTGTCCACAGTTATTTGTGGAATATGTATCTTTAAGTTACTCTCAGTTTTAAATAATCTTGATATCATGACTTTTAAAAATTAAGTCGTTGACTTACGCAATTGGGGAATATCTAAGGAATGACTACCAACAAAAAAGCAAATAATATATTGAATGTAAATGCACAACCAACACACTGGTTCTTAAAAAAAATGTTGTAAAACATGAGTAATTCAAAAGGAATTAAATCAAATAGTTAAGTTAACTTTATGCATTTAAAAAGAACCAGTAGATATATCAATTTCTTGACTTATAATCCCTGCCACATTGGAAACAAAAATAATATAACGCAGAGATATTTATTTTTTTTGTGTGAGAGACCAGGTAATGGAATACAGGTTTACAGAATATGCTTATTTAAGTAATTTCAGCAAAGAATAAAAAAAATGAGCCCAACCCTTGATCCAAAAAATAAATAATGTATTGTTATCTTCGGAAACAGATATTTTATTTTTTTTAATTTTACACAATTCAGATAAAAGAAATATTGTTGTTGATATATTGAAGAAGAAAATTAAAATTACAGCCTGAGAAATCCAGACAAAAAACCATAATGGTTGCATAGGAGGCCAGTCACTTATTCAATTTTTTTATTGTTTAGTTTAATTGTACTCAATCAATCAGATCATTAAAATCAAGTGCAAATGGAGTGTGATTTTCCTTTGAGAAATATGATTATGTAAAGGTTTATCTTGTAGATCAGATTACTTGTATTTTGAAGTATACAAATAAAAAAAGGTTAATATACTCTAGTCTTAAATGTTGAAAATAAGTTTTTTCACCAGAATTGCATGTACATTATTCAAAATGAACTCACATATTGTTATACTACGTACTATGAATAATAAATATTTTTAGTACCCGATATTTCTGGAATTTTCTTATACATGTATGTAGAGATTATACTTTTTTTAGAAGTGATAAAAACCTGTTATAAATATAACAATGTGATTTTCTAAACATTTTATATGTTTTCTCGCTTAAAACGAAATGTCCTTTAAATGACTAAGGAAAATTGTTCTGTGAAAAGTAAATATAAGGAATAAAATTATTCATTCTGTCTAAGAATCATGCGTGTTTAGTGTCTATTAATTTTGAACCAAAATAAAATTTATATTTTTTATTTTACAGTTTCAAAGTCAACTGTGTATGGATAATATAAAAAAAATTTCTCCTGGCGTCAGTTTGTCTATAAGTTGCAAACTTAATAACAAAGCATTAATGACTAGAGGGTTTTGAAATGTTTTCAATAGGAAGGCTTTTCCTTCTTTCAAAGCAACCAATTAAGATACAATGTTTGTGAGGTTCGTAACAAACTTGCTTTTGTATTGACATGGCGTATCATGGCTCTGCTGTTCTTGTTTTTTTTTTTTAAATTTTATTTTAAATTCCTTTGTAAAGCTTTGATCTCTCATGGTGCTTGAACTCCTGTAATTTGACACTAATCGAACTAAGCATGCTTCCATTTAAATATGTTCTATTAACTGATTTTTTTTAAATATTTGCACTATGTATTCCTATGTAGAAAGTAGATTACCCTTTGTGGCCATACCCTATTCTATGAGGTTATTATTTAAATAAACTGAAGGCACTTTTCTCAAAGAGATTCTGTACCTAGATAAACAGACCCCGATGTTATTCATCAGAAGTTGAAATTGTAAAAAGTTGACAAACAAGAAGGGCAAAACGATGAAGAAGGACAAACAAATAAATATTGATAAGAAAAGCTCACTTGAGCTTTTTACACATATGAGCTTAAGGCTGAGCCTACGATATATAAAACTGAAAAAAACATACTACCTTTTATGAATTTGTAAAATTAAAATTAGTCGCGACACCAGCTGGTGTTGTTGAATTCCTACTTTTCAATAAAGCTCCCTCTCTGCCTCTATTCCACAAGAGTCATAATATAAAAGCGGTTGTTAGAGTCAAGGAAATCTTGGATTACAAATAAATTGATGCCTCAAGACAAAAGTTATTTTTTTTGTAATCGATCCATGGCTATAGCCTTTTGCAAAATCACATGAGCAGTAGAGGATGAATAAATATATAAATAAAGGTAGCAAAAGTTAACTGAGTGAAAAAGAAGCATTTGAAGAGGAAAGGAAAGCTTAATAAAAGGTTAATTAATTCAATTAAGTTAGATTGCTTAAAATTTGCTAACGCTGGTCTTAATGGTTTTAAATGATAGATACAATTCAAAACTATATTTCTGGTTTAGTTTTGAGAAATATAATTACTACACATTATGATGCAAAAGATTTGTTTGCCCTCGATCGCTGATATGTAGCAGAGAGCTACTCTAAGTCTTTTATAATCTCGGTGTAATCTGTTGCTGTGGGTTGGAAACCATTGTACGCTACATTTCTTTCCTCATTGTGTCTATAACTCTTTTTTAGACTAACAATTCAATCATTTCTTGAAATGACGCGTACGATCATTGTTTTCCATTGAGAAAGAGAGAGTTAAATTCAGAGCTCTTTACAAGAGCAAGTGTCCAAGTAAATATTGCCTTTGCAGGGATCGAAATTAACTTTTTTAACCACAAGCTAATTTCAGCCTGTACATATAAAATCCACATGCTAAAATTAAAATTTACGAGCTAAAATTAAAATAGTGATTAAATTCCTTTTTATAAGCTTTATTGTAATCAACTACTAGTCTACAGTACAATACAGGACCTACTCTGGTAGTACACAAACAATAGTACACAATTATTTGATTGTTAAGTGTTTTAACTGCCAACATGAACTTGTGTTTCACTGATGTGGGCCATATGGTGCAATATTGGGTCTCTTGACACTCATACCACTTACATGTATCCACCACCTATTTACCACAGGTCTTGGTTCACAGTCTTCCAACTTTTTACTACACATGTCTATCCTCATCAAAATATTGAGTGTTTCATTATTTAATCTACAGCGCCAGTCGCTTTTAATTCTCTTCATTGTAGAAAACCCCCTCTCACAGGAAGCATTTGAAAGAGGAAACAACGATACAAGATGAATTATTTTCATGATGTTCTGGTAGTTTTCAGTTTCTTGGTCTTCTAGAGAGATTCTCTGGAACACTGCAAGTGGGTGGACTCCTACAAAATGTTGATTTCTGCCAACATGTGCCTTGAAGTCAGTCCATTGTCTTAAAGCAGCATCTGTGTCACAATTTCCAAGAAGTGGTCTGAACTGCTCCACCACTCTCTGAATTTCAACAACTCCAAAATGGACTAAGGCTATACAGATTAGATTAGTCACTTATTTGCAATGTTGTACATGATATTTCTTTTGATTTTAGGTCATTCATCAGACAGATGGAGAGAGAGTTTTATTGTTTATTGAATAAAGTTTACCTCAATATATTTAATATAATTTATTTTCTTTTAACTTAAATTCAACAGTAAATAATAATTAAATGTTTTTCTATTGAATAATTAGCATAATATACATCGCTTACAAACCAAAGTAAATATACTTTTAAAAAGACATAAATATTATTTGAGACTGACTTAGGAAAAAGAATATTAACCATCACCAGCATTCATATCTGGCCAGTTTTTGTGGTCAAAGGCATGGCATGGGGTTCTGGTGCAGATTCTCAAATCTGGATTGAATGCAGTCTATGACACTGATGATTATTTGCCTCTTTTGGTTGTTTAGTGCATGCATATCAACTAGATTATGCAGTGTTTCTCCATGAAATTGTGTTCCATTGACATCAGTAATAAACTTTGCTATCTGAATTCCTGGATTGTGAACCATGTCATTTAGTGTAGCATTGACAGCTTGGAGAATTGTAACTGCACTTTAAACTGTAATGTCTTCTCTCTGTAAAAGTAAACTGACTCTGCTTACTTCTGAGAGAACATCCTTTGTGAAGTACAGATAATTCACAAACTTTTTAAGGATGCCCCTAGCCTTTGCTCTATCTTCTCTGTTGGAATTATCTTCTGCATAATTACCAATGTGAGTTACAATGACTGGCCAGTTTTTCAGCATTTTGCTTACAGCTTGCAGCTTATGTTCAACCCATCTGGTGCCGTTTGCTTTTGCAGGTTTTTGGAAATGTTCGTTCATAATATCTGCCACCTCTTGAGCCTCTCTATTTCTTTTAGAGGACCCTCTGAAGAAATAATAAATCAAAGTTATTACTTCTACAATCGTGTCCATATAGGTAGATTTAAATGCATCTTTCACAGCAAGTTCCAACCGATGGGCAAGGCACCAAACAGAGATGATCCAGGGAGATTGTGCCTTGATAAGAGCAGATACACCTCTTACTTCTCCAAAGTTAAACCGGTCACGGTAGCCTAGTGGTAGAGCGTTCGCTTCGTGATCGGGAGGCCCGGGTTCGATTCTCGATCGCGGCGCCGCGTCATACCTAAGACGTAAACAAAGGTAGTGACTGTTCCTTCGCCAAGCGCTCGGCACTAGAAGTGAAAGTCACGGGTCTTTCGGATATGACCTTAAAAACGTAGGTCCCGTGTCACGGTAGGCGTTGGCACGATAAAGAACCCTCACTGCTCAATGGCCCTGAGTGCCGAGTATAGGTCTAAATTTGAAGCCCTTCACTGGCATCGGTGACGTCTCCATATGAGTGAAAAATTCTCAAGAGGGACGTTAAACAATATACAATCAATCAATCTCCAAAGTTAACACTAGCTCCATCTGAGCAAAACCCAATTAGTTTTGTTTCCAGTTTGGAATACCAAATTTTGTAAAAGCATTGTCTAATGCTGCCAAAATGCCACTTGCCTTTGCATTTGGTGGTTCCTCTAAACTTAGGAATAGCGTTACATGGTAGTATCCTCTTAAGATTTTAATCATAACCATTTCTTTTTCAGTTTCAGTACGATCTGTTGAACCGTCACAGAAAACACTGAAGTAATCTGCATTCTGTAATAAATCTTTCAGTTAATCAAAATATATTTCAGCTATATGTGTAGCAAACTCCTTTGCTGCTTTGCCAGAATCATAGGTATGACCTAGTTGCAACCGTTCAATTTCTGCAGATTCAAAAGTTCACAAAAATCTGAGAAAGTTCTCTCCTTTTTAACCAAATAATAAACTGTTCTTATTAATTTGTCCATTTTTACTAATGTCTGCCCATCCGACTTCTGAAATCCTTTTTCAATAGGTGTAGCTTTTTGATTTTGTTTCACGGAATGTGCTAGTTTAGTTGCAGTAGCCCTTTGATGCAGGATGATTTCACATGATATACAATTGATTCTTTTTTACTCTGTTACAGCCAAACACAAGCTATCAAAAAAAATATTATAGAAAAACGACTCAGTCACTGACGAAATTGTTCAGTTGGAATGGAAAGAGACCGTCATATTCCAATTTAATTTAAGATCAAAATATATTCGATCTACAAATCTCACTTACCGATGATGTTCTTTCTGTAGCAAAATTTTCACAGGTTACACACCAAATTTTGGTGACTGTATCGCCCTCTCTTGTGTACCCGATAGGAATTTGGAATTCTTCCTCCCATTTCTTTACCGTTTTTAAAGAGGCTGTCACTGTGTTACACACTTTCTTAGAAGAGTTATTATCTGAAGAACGCTCTGGCTCGGGCGAATCTTTGTTCTCATCATTATTATTATCTGGTTGAATGTCTTTTCGTTTAAAGAAATATGTGATCATACAAAGTTTTCATAGGTACATAAGAGAAAGAGACAGACAGACAGACACTGGCGTGGATCCAGAAATATTTTCCTGGGGATGGGTCTACCCCAGTCAAAACAAAATCGAATCCCAGAAATTTCTTGACAAGCCAAAAAAAACCTATCTACCCCAAACGACAAAAACTTACTAGTATTTCGTGGGAGCCGGGGGGCTAGAGGGGATAAGGGGGGGGGGGGAGGTAGTACATGAACTCTATTTCCTCAAATTCTTCCCTGTTCATACTTATTTTATACAGATTTGCGTTTACGGGGGGGGGGGGGGGCAGCTTTTTCTAAGGGGGGTCCAAGGTAACTTTTTTCTTGCTTTAGTATTACATTTTCTGTCCTGACCCAACCCCCACCCCCACCCCACCCCTGTACCTCAGCGCATGAGACAGACAGACATACAGGGAGAAAGAAAGAGAGAGAGAGTGGCATAGTTTCGGCAACACCTTAAAATATATTAAGTATATCATTCATAGATCTTGTTCATTCAAATAGTTTATGATTTCGTTAGCATAATGTCGGTAAGAGTTTAAGATAACTCAATACAATTAGTAATTCCGGGAATAAAACATTGTTTATAATCATGAGACTTTAAAAACCAAAAAAATCTCTGAAAAAAATAAAGACACCCACGCGTTTTCATTTACACTTGAAACAATAAATGATATCCGTTCTGCAACATTGATTTAAAAAAAAAATCATAGTGTGGAAGTGATTTAAATTTGAAATGAATGAAAAGGGCATTATTTTTATGTCCAAAAAGATAAATGCAAATTAATATCTTCTATTATTTTGTCAAACTTCTGACACCTGCTGCTTTCATAAATTAGCATTATCTGCGAATGCATCTACCATGTCTACTGTTTGTCGAAATATTAGGGATATTTTGTTAAAGAAGGGACAAAAAACTGATAAGATAATCAAAGCTCGAGCGTTCTCAGATTGAGAGTCTCTGTCAGAGTCTTTCCGCGATATTATCAATTTCTCTGGAAGCAGCCATGCACGAAATCCCCGAGATATTGCTCTTATCTGAAATCTAAAACAGATTTGAAATTTTGGTGTGAACGTTGTAAACTTTGCGAAAGCTATAAGAAGCAGACAACGTAAAATGTACAAATCGCTGGCTTTCTACATGCACTTTGTTATGGGTCAGAATAACCCTAAATGCCAGCAAAGATCAATCCCAGCTAACACAAAAACATTTTAAAAATGTTTTTAAAACATTTTCAAAATGTTGCGAAAACATTTTAAAAAATGTTTTAATCACGTGATTTTGTATGGTTTTTTAAAAGTTTTTAAAACATTTTAGTGAAATATTTCAGCAAAATGTTGTGAGAACATTTTCTTAAAATGTTGCAAAAACATTTTCAATAATGTTTTAATCACGTGAATTTGTATGGTTTTTTAAACGTTTTTAAAACATTTTAGTGAAATATTTCAGCAAATGTTTCTGGAACATTTTCTTAAAATGTTTCGAAAACATTTTTGAACAATGTTGTAATCACGTGATTTTGTATGGTTTTTTAAATGTTTTAAAAACATTTTACAAAATATTTCAACAAATGTTATCATAACATTTTTAAAAAATGTTTTTTCACGTTTAATTTGTTTGGTTTTTAAAACGTTTTCAAAACATTCACGTCGAGGTTAAAAATTATTGTTACTGAAATTTTACTTTTCTCATTAAATAATGATATAATCATATTTTAAAAGAAAAAGACACAAATTATATTTAATTTTTGAACCTTTAATACAAACCCATATTGAATATGTTAATCACATTTAAATTCCATTCTCGGTACAAGTTTTAATTTATTTTCTTTCAAGTCACCGGGTTTTTAAAGGGTGTAAATGACGTCTAATCCATCCACTGATTTTTTTAAAAAAGAACAAAATCACAGAAATCCTATGTTCACAGTAAAGGTCGAACAGAGCGGCGGATCTATAAGTTAGAATGACATACACTGAAAAGGCTGATAAGGAATCCGCCCCTCGGAAAGAATAGCACAACCTCTAAAGATAAGGAAAATTGTGTTTGTATCGATGATCATGAAAATATACAAAAAATATTTTAAATAATTATATCAAATTAAAGTTCTTTTATCATTTGCATTCAAAAAAGCAGAAAAATAATTATTTTGACAATATAATTGAAGAGTAATAGTATTTACGTATACCTTTGCCTTCACCAAAGGCGGGACTTTTGAATGTGGGAATTTGAAAATAAGGATGATGCAATCAACACCATGCTGTAAAGAAATTTCATTTTTAAATCAACATAGTGTTTGATGATTTTATAACATTTCACAAAGACAACGAATACTTGAATCAAGGATATAATTGTGTTGACTTAAGAATGGAATATTCAAATCAAATACATGTATATAACCTTAACGCTTTGTCATTTCTTAATGCTACATACATTTGTACAAAGTTATTGATCATGCACTGGTAGTATAACAGTCATTTTTAAATCATCTTTTAAAGTCTATGATAAAGGAATAATTCTTACCATTCAAAGTTAATCAATACCGAGGTTATAATATTATTGTGGTTTATATGGTGCAAAGTCTTCTCATTCAAATCGGCACGGAGTAAGCGCGCACATCTTGTTTACCAGAATTCAAAATTTGGCCTAGATAAGCTGCAAACCACTTTACTCTGTAACGCGCTGCCCAGCAGGAAAATTGCGTAATAGGTTATCATGACACTGAAACTGACCAGTGTGCCAATCCCTATCTAATGCCTCAGAGTTAAATCCTGGGAGTGGATCACATTTTTGATGAAGAACAAACACTAAGAGTTTTATCAAATGATTATGATTTTTTTTTACATTAATTTATATTTAAAATTTTATTTTTGCCTATCCTTTAATTTATTGATTTTTTTATCTGTTTTAATTAAAGAACTTTATATATGTCTATTTAATCAATAAGTCATAACGTAAAATCTTAATAAAATACCGGAAAAAATCTTTCAATTAAAAAATTGCTACAATTCCTCATTTCAACATTATTCTTTCTATATGTTCTTTTTTTTCTTCATAAACTAAATTTTAGGACAATCACCATCAAACATTATTTGAATGTTTTAAGAACATTTTGAAAATAAAATTTAAAAAATGTTACAGCAATTAAAAATGAAGGCTTTAAAAAAGAAAACACATTAAATTGAATGTTCTAAAATAATTTTTATTAATTTTAATAATTATTATTCTCGCAACATACTCTTAAAGTTAATAAATGAATCAAATTGTGCCGCAATTACATAAATGTTTCAGAAACATTTTGAAAATGTTTCCAAAAAATGTTACAAAAGCTATAATTAAAATACTTCAATTGTAATGAAAAAATTATTTTAGTTTATGTTTTAAATAAACATTTTCACTGCCTAGGCCGAAAAATATCCGGTATTTAATGGTTATAACTAACAGCGATATTAAGAATGTTTTAAAAATATTTTTAAAATGTTCCTTACAAATTTTTCAGAAACGTTTAGGCAATGTTTCCGTTTTACAGAAAAAGAATATTTCATTTCATGTTTTAAGAACGTTTTTAAAATGTTTTATTAGATCTTTAATATTTGGAGGCTATACACACCCTTAGAATAATTTT